GTCAGGCTACTAAGTATAAAAGAATAGCATAAGCATGGAAGAACAACATGAAGATGTGATGCAACAAAGAGTGGGTGTGAAGTGCATGCACTAGTAGCAACGGGAGAGCTAAAGAAAGACCTGAGTTTCACAAACAGGAGATACTGAGTGATGATGTCAAACATGCTTTTTGTTTGATACTTTTTTCTTTCAGTCTTTGCTCAAAAGTGCTCCATTTAACACAACAAGCATACCCAGTCAGAGGGCAAGAATACTGGCAGCAAGAAAGAACAAAACAGTCAGACAGTGTCTAAATAACTCAGCTATATTCCAACTGACAAGGCCTGAAAGTCTTCTGCCGTACTGGGTAAAACAGCTGAAGCCCATTTGGCATCATCAGCACAGAAGTCAGGGATGGGGGGCATGTGTTTCTGCACACTTGGAAAGGCAAATCTAGCACCTATCACGAAAGGGGAGGATGTAAAGAAGAAGCCAGGAATTGGAGATCAGGCAGATTAATATCAATTCCTGGAAAAATACTGGAAGTGATAATTTAATAAACTATTTTCCAGCACCTAGAAGACAACAAGCAGATGAAGAACAGCAAGCATTGATTTGACAAGAGCAAATCACATCAAATCAATCTAATTTCCTTTTACAGTAGGTCTTAGATCTTGATTTTAATGCAGTTTTTGCCTTTGTCTTACCTGACACTTTCATAAACCAAGCAAAGAAACACACCTTAAAAGATACTGCTATTAGAGGAGTGTACAGCTGCTTGGAAAACCAGACTAAGAGCAGTTATAAATGCTTCACTGTCAAACAGGCAGTACATATCAAATGAAGTCTGAAGCCATCTGTTTTATGTCTGGCAGTGCACAGTATTGTCATTAATATCTTTGGAAAAAAACACAAGAGTAGGGAACACTTATTAAATTAGCACAGGACACTATGAAGAACAAACACTTTGGAGAACAGGAGGGGAATACAAAACAATCTCGACAAATGAGAAAGAGGGGTGGGAAGAGAAGCGCCATTCAGAATAGACAAAGTGGAGCTCTGGGGTTTTGTAGACATCATCAAGGACTGCAAGACCAACTGGGGAACAACTAGCACAGCAGCAGTTCTGCAGGAGGTCTAGGGATGTCAGCTCAACATGAATGAGCATGGTCATGCTGCAGTAAAAAATGAAAGTGCTCTAATGAGGTGTACAAACAGAAGCGCAGCCTGTGACAAACAGGAAACCATTCTTCCCCTGTTGTCTATGCTGTCAAGGCTTCATTTGAAGTGTCATCTGTGCAGTTTTGGCCACTGAAGTTCAGGGAGACTGAGCTGATTGCAGAAAGCGCAAAGGAGAGCTACAGCAATGGTCCTGAAAAGGTGCCGGGTGGGAAAGGCTCAATAGTCTAAAACTAATATCCAACCTAAACTTCCCCTGACACAACTTCAGGCTGTTCCCTCAGGTCCTGTCACTGATCACAACGGAGAAGAGATCAGTGCCTGTCCCTCTTCTTCCCCTCACGAGGAAATTGCAGATTGCAATGAGGTCTCCCCTCAGTCTCTTCTTCTCCAGACTGAACAGACCAAATGACCTCAGCCACTACTCATATGACTTACCCTCAAGGCTCTTCCCCCTCTGGCCTTGATCTCTTCCCAGGACTTTTAATTTGCCATCTTAGACTTCTACACTTCATCACCTGAAATCCATGCCATACATTCGCCTGGCTGCCTACAAAGCCTAGCACTTGACACCGGAAAGGAAAACTACTGCTCAGCTCAAGTCAAATACAAAACAGCAGCTCTGGTAGTCCTCACTCGAATCCTATCTTTCACCCAGAGACATTTCCTTTCTCCTTTCACCAGATTATTAATTTCTGTCTTCTCACGACCCAGTCTCCTACGGGTACAGCAGAATAGGTGGCTAAAATGGTGCCTCCTGACTTTAAACACCCAAAAGTTGTCTAAGAGTGGGGGTTGTAGCACTGGCTGGCTGCTGCAGGCTGAATCCCTTGAACTTACACCTTGGATATTATCATGCACTAAGTTCCGTGATGCAATATGCGTTGTTATATATGTCAAATATATAAAACATTGCCTAGCCATAATTCTTTTAGATGAGATTTCACACAACCCCAACATAGGGCGATATGCCCTGCAGAAAATGTTGCAGCATCCCCAAACAGAAAGCTCTAGCAGAAGAAATGTTATCACAGTGCAAACATTTGCCTCCATTGCAAGTGTGATAGGAAGTGACACTACAAATAGGCATCTGAACAGCCTGGTCTAGTGGAAGGTGTTGGAACTGAATGATCATTCAGGTCACTTCCAACCCAAACCATCCTATGGTTCTCTGGTTCTGTGTAACCTCTCAAAGCCACTGCTGTATGCTTGGGCCCATTAGCTTGTCTTTTAACCAAAAGGAGTCCTGCAGCTGTCTGCTCCCCAAAGCCTGAAGGCATCTGCACACAACCAAAGTCCTAAATGAGAAAACCCACATAACCTGCCTGAAATCCCCCAAGAAAGCCAACCCAGAAGTTCCGACCCTGTCTGTGTGTGCATGTTAACCCTAATTGCATCCAGCAAATAAAAAAGCCTTCAGTGCCAGTGCAGGCATTGCCATGCCATGGTGGAAAATATTATAGAGGATTGGCAGAAATAAAATTTTAATTAGGGCTAAAACAAAATTTAGCCCTAAAGAAATAAAATCATAGCTAAAGGAAGCTGCACCAAGGAGCATAGCATTTGTCTTGTAAGTGTTGTGGTCTGAAGCATAAACCGAAACAATCCTGAGTGTTTCGAAAACTGTATGTTAGCTGCCATGAAAATAATAATTTTGCTGTATTCTTTATCAAGGGCCTCAAAGACATGTTGATTAAGGATGCTGCCCAGTGCTGGAGGAGCTTCTAAGGATGAATGCTAGCTCTCTGCCCGCTAACTTGGCATTTGAGGTAGCTAACTCTGCCGGGCAAAGCAGGGCCATCACACAGCCACGTGGGTGCCCGCTCTCCACACTGACCTTGCCAGGGGCACAGCTGGGCCACATTTGGTAGATGAGGTCTTGGGATCTGGAAATGTAATGCCCCCTGTATAGGTCACTTGCTGCCTTGCAGCAAGGCCACCTCCTTTTCCCATTGGAAAGCAAGAGCAGCCAGCCCTTCAACTCACTGACTGCTCCACCGAAACCTTTCCAGGACAGGCTTCTGTATTCCTCTCTGGCTGCTACACAGAGCGGTAGATGGGGAAGAAAAGAAACACTTCAGTGATGTTACTCCTCCCAGCTCCTTATTCCCATACTCCTATGATGGATGGATGGAAGGAAGGAAGGAAGGAAGGAAGGAAATATCCAGAAAAAAAGGATGGGAAACAAAGTAGAGAAAAAAGTAACTGAAAGCAGAAACTTCCAAAAAAGGCATTTTATAGCCAGGTTCTTTGAAAACTGACTTTGTTGTCTGTGTCTAATAGGGTCCTGGTCTTTGCTAGGTATCACCATAATAGAGTTGTAGAGGAAAAAAGATAAAGGATAAAATATACAGTCCAGAGGAAAGGAAAATTCAAAGGCTGAGAGAAAGGGAAAAGAAAACAAGGGAGGGTCATATTGAAGCTGGCTGAACTGTCTTTTTTAGTCTTTGATAAAGTTACACCCTACAGATGCTAGAACTTTAAGAAACACAAAAGCTTGGGCTAGTGCAAAATGCTGTGGCAAAGAAAATTGCATTTTTAGGGAAGCAGACCCAGTTTCCAGACATCCTACACCCTGGGAGGTGACAGACCATCTCCTCAGGCTGGTCCACGTCTGAGAACCCTCCCAAGCCTGGGCTTACCCCAAAGCAGCCAGCGGTGCACCCATCAGGGGCACGTGGTGAGCTCAAAGTCGTGCCATGTGGAGACAAGAGGTCAGAAGATACCAGATCGTGAATCAGAACATGTCAAAACTGGGCCGACTCAGCTCCTAATGCAGATCTGAAGCTGCCAGTTCCTGCCACTGCCAGGCCCAGTCAGTGTACCCCGTGGGTCTCAGGAAGAGGAACCATGCCTGTTCAGTGCTTTGCAACAACTGGAAAAGTCCTCAGGTCATGGTGCTGCTGTCTCAAAGGTGGATGGCAGCAACAGCGGCTTAGTGAAGTTAAAGGAAAAACTGTGAATGGGCCACGACTCTGAAAATGCTGTTCTAAATCAAGTGGAGGCATAAAGACAATATTGATAACCATGAAGCTGAAAACACAGGCCACAATATACAAACAAAACATGCTGAAGCCCCATAATGGGCCACAGTTCAAACAAGTACCCTTCCATGTATTTCCCAGGAGCCTGGACAATTACTTGTTTTTATATGAGAACTTCAGGCTGTGTCCTGCAGGATAAGAGAGGGTACAAGGGAGCCAGATGGTTGAGCTGACTTGTGAGTGCTGTCCCCAGATGAGGCAGGAGGAGACAAGGAAGGATCTGGTGGACAGAGAGAAAAGTCAGCTGTGGGCAGATCCCACCATGCTCTGGACTACAGCTTTACCTTTTACACCACACTCCCTCTCTCCTCAGAGCTACCTTTCTACCAGTTTCATTCTTCTGCCACCTCATTCCTCACAGCAGTAGTTTTATATAAAAACACTGTAAAAATGTGCTCCCTGAGTGATGGGAACAGAAACCTCTCAACAGCTTGGGACTGTTTCCCCATGTAGGCATCCCCTTGCATCCCTCTGCATAGCTGTAGGGTCTCAGGCAGTGGGAGGCTGGCTTCTAACATCTGCTCTTCACTTCCAATATCCTGTTTACAAAACCCGATAAACTCCCCCCAAGGCTAAGAATTGAAACTTGGATGCTGGGGGAGAGAGTTATTCATCCTCCACAGCTGGTAAGCCTGCCCACCATCCTACCTTGTGCCAGCAGCATCAAAGATGGGCAGCAGGTCTGAGAGGCTCAGCGCAGACACTTGGCCTTTCCTACAGGGAAAGCATAGGGTGTAAATACGCCTTCAGGAAGGTGACGGTGGCAGGGACACCGGCTAGCACCTATACCTGCCCTAAGGCAGCCTCTGTTGTTATTCCAGCACCAGAGAAATGATGTAACAGCACTGTGTTGTTTTGGAATCCGGCAGCATTTTCCACCCGTCAGGCTGCGTAGGATGCCCACATGCAAGGCTGCAGGCTGGAGCTCCTCTTCTGTTTCTGCTTCCAGAGCAAGAAAATTGAGAAGGCAACCTACAGGAGATAAAAGACAAAGCGCTGCTGAAAAATATCAGTAGTAGTAACTCTTAGAACTAACCTTAGGTGTCAGATGAGTTGATACCTCTCTTTTGAACATATGAACCATTTTGTGGGTATGACAGCAACACACTCCATAATCCTTTCCATATTTGGCTTTATTGGCTTATTGTGCAGAGCCATTAGAATCAGGATCGTCTCTTATGAAGCTGTTAATGGCATGCAAATTGCATAAAAGATTTCTCTGCATCAATAGAAAACAACCTAGTAATACATTCTTGCATAAAAATCTACATTAAAATCTGCTACAAAAGACATACTTTGAAAGAAGCAAAAATCCCATATGACTAAAGAAGAAATATGCTCACCATGGGAAAATGAATATCAGGCTTGTAACTAGAGGTGACCTATCTTAGAGCTGCTTGGATCCCAATGAACAGATATGCCTTTAACTACTGAAGTATTCCAAAGATGTGATTCACACAATATCATGGCTAAAGCCAGGTAAAAAAGTCCAATGAACATTTTATGCATGGAAAAATGCAATTGCAGTCTGACCAAGCCTGAATCTGTGCTGAATTCAGCAAAGAGCCATGGTCAAAATATATATGCTGTTTAAATTAAATTATAAGTCTAAGCAGATTGCTCTGTGTAATGCACTTCTACTTTTCATGCTGAAATGAAGCTTCAAGACTGAAATTTAACTTTCAGTAAGGCAGAAACACCTAAAACTAACTAGCATGGAGCAGTAAGTCAAGAGAAATGTTGCGCTTTATCTGTCACATCACTTTAGGATTTTTTTTTCTTTTTGGTGTGGACATCAGCGTGACTGTGATTTCAGCCCATTGTTTCCAAGAAGCACACAGCTGGAATGAACCTGTTATTAATGTTCTGCCAATGCCACCTAGCACAGCTGCCTTGCCCACATGGTGTAAGTGGCAGAGTCCCCACCACTGCCATGCACCATCTATCTCTCACAATGTACCATGGATGTGCCTGTTGTGTCTCTGGTCCTGTGCAGCCATAAGTGTCCAGCACTGGAGCAGTGGGAAATACCAGGCCAGGCAGAGCTGTAAGTGCAAAGTCCTTCCGACCTGTCTCAGTGGCAGTGGGCAGCCCTGAGGACACCTGCTACAAAGAACCTGGAAGACAGAGAAGAAAAGCAGCATTGCTGAAATTCCTTGACCATTTTCTGTCCAAATCATCCATGCACTATAGGAGCCCAGGGTTGCCCTCCAGGGACACTACTCTGTCTCAAGCATGAAAGACCAGATTTTTCCTGAAATAACATCCAGCTCTTGCTTTGTTGCCTGCTGGGCTCAGCTGATATACATGGAGAAGCCTAAATAAAGAAGTGCCGAACTCATTGCCCAAGCTTTTCCTCACCGCTATCTGCATTCTTTTGCATTCATTAAAAAACAAACAAACCTGTTTCCTGAGAGCAGGGAGGAAAATCACAGGGCTGGGTTGTTTGGGGTTGTCTTTTGTGAGGTTTTTTTTTTCCCCTTGCAAAAGGCACTTGAATACTGTAGAGAGAGGCAGCTCTGCAGGATGTAGACAGAGATTCAAGTGGCTGGTAATAGACAAATGTGATGGGAAAGCAGAACAAACAAGACATCCACTATCTCCGTCTCTCAGGGATAGAAGGAGGGAAAGAGGGATGAGAAGAGAAAAAAAGCATCTGCGCTGCTCTAGCAGCCAGATCTTAGAGAGGAACCAGCACACTCCCAGTCTGGCCCAGAGACCTGCCTCGGATGGGCTGAGTGGATGTCAGCCAGAAAGGCTGGGGAAAAGAGTCCCCTTGTTTTGCAGAGACAGTTAGATCTCTGAGAGAGAACTGAAAGAAACAAGAGTATAGAAACCCACAGCAAACAGCAAAAGCCGCCTCCAGACGATGACAAGGGTACAAAGATAGCACTGGAGGCTGCGGCACTCCTTGGCGCGGGGCTGGCCAGTGGCGGGAAGTGCCTCACATCCTCTTCTCCGCATTGTTCTCCCAACTCCTCCGGTGGCTGGGAAAGTTTCTTCCAGCAATTTACCCCATCCTCACCCTGCAGCTGGCCAGCGTGCCACTATTGATTCACTTCCCCAGGCATTTCTCTTACTGTCATGCTCTTGTGGTGTAAAAGCGGCCACTGGGCTCAGGCAGGGGGGGTGGCCGCAGCCCTCTCACTGTAGGAGGAAACTTTTCCTGCATACCAACATTTTTTAACCACAGTGAATAGCAGTGGTGAGAGCAGGGGTAAATGAACACTCAACCAAGGTATAGGTGGATTGAGGAGGCTTTACTGCTGCTTTATGTGAGAGGAGACACCTTCCAGTACCCAGCACCGCTCCATTATGTGCAAGGTTGTTTTCCCTCCCTCCCAGAACAAAATAAAAATCATCAAACATAGAGCCTTGGTTGTAGATATATAATTGGATCAAATTGTTGTTAATGACCTTGTTTGGTCTATTGTGCCTTTGTTTTCCACTCCAGCTTGCACCAGAGCAGGTAGTGTGTTTATGCTGCAGTCAGGGTGACCTGACTAAGAGCCATCCTGGTTTTATTCTTCTCTTCATGAAAAGAGCTGATCCTTGGGAGAGGGCTGACATCCTGCAGGGCAAGTCTGGGTCTCGCTGCCAGAGAGCTATGGATGATTGCTAACGTGTCACGTCAAGATAAGTGCAGGCTGTGGTGTGGTGGACTGGAGGCTTTGAGAGAATGGTGTGCAAGCACAAGAGCTTTAACACCAAGGTTACAATTAAACCTCACCTGGGGCTGGCTGTTGAAGTAAAGCAAGTCTTGTTTAACTGCAGGAAAAACACCATGTAATAGAAATCTAATTATGTTGAACAGTACCCGATGTAAAGGTTATAGTTTATGGATTAACAGCAAGAACTGACACTGTGAACTGTGAACTCATCTGGAACTGGCTGAAGGGGAAAAGGACATGCTGGTAGTTAATTATTTTGGGCACCAATGGGATGCTGTCATGGAAAGACAAGCACAATCCCAGGATGCACTGGGAAGTGTGTCTAGCAGAGGAGGCAAAAAACAGAGATGCTGACATGCACAAATAGGTACTGGGAGGGCCATGGAGAAGTTCTTGAGGGAACCTCTCTCCCTTCATCAGCATGTATAGGAGAGAGTTACCAAAAGAAAATAACATTTCTCTGTATGGCACAAGAGAAACTGGTTTTGCTCATGGCTGTAAAGCAAAAGGTTTCTCTCTGGTAGAGCAGTGATGTTCTGGACCAGCCTAACTGTCAGAGCACTGGGTACAAGATCCACAACAAGCTCTGTGACAGGCAGATTGGCAGTGAGAGGCAGTGTCTGCCATGGGAGAAGCCAGGATTCAGAGGCCATTCATCCTCATGCCCTGAACCTAAGGAAAAAATAGAAGCTGAATGGAAAGTTGTGTAGCTGTTTGAACTGGTAGGGAGAAAAAAAAGTCCTACTAATGTGCCACTGCAACTCTACTAGAGCTGGAAGTAACCAGCCTTTGATCCCAGGCCTTTAATGCACTCAATAAAAGGCATGATGGCTGCAAGTCCACCGTTGTATTATTGCCTACTTGGCTTAAAGTTGCATGGCACTGTCAAGGACATCTCCTGATGGCAACAAAGAATAGAAATGAAGAATGAAAGAAAATTAAAGATTTCACGGCAAAGATCACCATGTGCTGTGAAGGGCAGGCGGGCGGGAGACACCAGCGCCGCGTGCAGGGATACTGTGGAGGTGACCTTGCATGGCATGTTTAAAAATAGCTGATGCCACCATACTTCCCACTCCACAGGCTTTCTGCTCCCTTCTCTGTCACAACCTGACACATCCCCTACAGCACTAAATACGTTGTAAGTAATTTAAAAACACAACTAATTACTTCAGGGAGATGTTTAAGTATCTAAGTCTTTGGCAACTACAGGACACTTACAATGCTATGGGCATTGTAATGCAAGAGCAGAAGGTCTCCTGGTGGGTGCCTGTGCCAGAGGAGCCCGCAGCCCCAGCACCGGTGGCACAGGGAGGTCACCCGTCAGCAATCCCCACAATCGACCTCTTGTGTCAGATGTGTGAGAAAGTTCTCCCTTTCCTGTCACACGCTACCGAAGAGCTCTGGCAGCTGCGGGCCCCCTCCAACACCCTGGCAGGCCTGAATAGACAGAGCCGCCCCAGAAACGCCCAGATGTGTGCTGGGTTACTTGGGATTTACTGGCACACCATGTGCAAGATCAGCATCAGGCCAGGATGGTGTTGTTTAGTTAATTTGCTTTTTGTGATCTAATTTCCTTACTTTAACTCTTTTTTTTTTTTTTTTTTTTTGTCATCCCACTGTCTTGAAAGGAAAGAAAGAAAAGATCCAAGATGCCAACATCTTCAGCTACTTTAAAGGGTCTCTGTTTGGTATTCGCTCCCTGACCTGTATTCCTTGCTGTAAAACCTCCCTGTTACTGTGATTTAATGCACATACCAAAACAAGCTGCCAATTACACTGCTGTTAGTGCAAGGTGGCTCCAAAGACACTGCCCTGTGAGCAGAATCTGTCCCTCCATAGCAAAGAGGTTGCTGTGCAAACTCAGAGATGAGCAATAGCTGCCCCACTTATGACATCTCAGCCATTTCATCCATCTGGTTCCCTTGCTCCAGAGCAAGAGCAGACCTCTGCAAGCCACAAGTCTCTGCAGCATGGTCCACACACATGCCAGTTGCTGGGATGCTGCTCCTTTGGCTTTTACAACAGACCACAGACTGGAGAAATCTCTGGGCTGTGAGCAGTGTGGACCCCTCCGCTAATGAGAGTTCATGAAGGACCTAATTATTTCCCCTTCTATTGAGAAGCCCTGGCTAAGCTATGGAAGGTGACTTCAGGCGAGCCATAGAGCATGGCTTTTGATCCGAGATACACTGCATCCATCTAGTCCACTGGTTCTCTGATTAGGACCCAGCTTCAAGTGTTGAAGGATTCTCCCAAGACGTGAAATTTTTATGGCTCCGCCACATTTTGTGACAAGCCTCCAGCTTGTCTAAGATCCCCCTGTCAAGTTTCATTTTTCAGGCTCTTTGTGCGAAATGATACTTAATGGAGGAGTCTCCAGTGTAAGAAGTAAAGAATACACACATACAATCCATAAATAGAGACACTTTAGAGGCTCTTTAAACATTCACGCTTTTTGCATAATTGATGACTTTCTATAATAGATATGGATGATAAACAGCTTTAAATAAAATGAAAATTTATCATTGTCATATCATTTATCAGCATTACGTTAAACTGTAAAATACGGGGAGAATATTGCCATGTTCTCAATCAAAATTGGTGGAAGTGAGAATAATTCAGGGGCTGTATCATTGCATTCGTCAGGGTTTTTAATGAGGTTGCCAACAGCCAAGAAACTGCACTAGAACCTGTGAGTCAGAGAAAGAATTTGTATGTTACTGCATAGCCAGTGTAAGCCATCAAGCACCTCCTCTGTGGCTCCAAAGGACCAAAAGTAAGCCTGTTCTCCAGGGCAAGTCATACAATTTAGTGCTCATCTTCTCTAAGGTAGACAGCTATTGATAACCAAAACTCCCAAATTCCCACTATGCTCAGTAAAAGAGGTGGGCACTTCCAGCAAGAGATTTGTCCCACTGAATATATATATATATGTATGTATGTATATGTATGCATATATATAGATATATGTATATACATATATATGTGTGTGTGAGATGCGTGTTGCTTCTTATGCCCTGTGAGAAGAGGAAGGATGATTAGTTTGGATCATTGTGTGACTTTCACACTTCTACAGTCAGCTGAGATGAATCCCACCTCTGAGAAAGACAGAGCTTTGCCAAGGGATTTTTAGTCACTCCAGATTCTTTCAAAGTGGGGAGGTCCCATGCCAGGAAAGTAAACAAAATTTCTTTGTTGTGATGGCAATGGTTGTCCCAAGGCACTTCAACATCTCAGCTGCAGACTGCTGAGGAACCTCCTGCGTGCCGAAGTTTCACATTCCATGTGATTCTTTAAAAATAATTGACAGAGGCTCAGCAGGTCAGCTAACTCTCCAAGGGTCCACCCTACTGCAGCCTGCTTGAGCAGATAGGTTTGATTTTTTCAAGTATTCCCATATCATCTCTTTGCTGATATTTTTGTTGACAAGGTTACTGAAAAGACAGGCCAACCAACCAAACATAACAAAACTGTCTTTAAAAACAAGTTAGGAACCATTTAAAAAAAAAAGTTTTTTTTACTACTCTCCCGCAGCTTTTTTAAACCCACGCATGCGAGGGTTTCACATCACTTGAAATAAAAGCTGTGCTTGAGAGAAGAAGGGTAGTAAGTGCTTACTCTCATCAAAGGCCAGCCAGACTGCAAATGGCAACCCAGAGAGCCATTTCTGCAGGGTGCCCCAGCCCTGTGCCAAGGGAGGGAGGTAAAGGCTCCTGGACACATTCACAGCTGTGTATGCCATCAGGACCCCTCCACCTTTTCTCCTTTGATTTTGGGAAAGCTATTTCTGCTTGTCGGCTCCTTTCTCACCACTTGGAGCCTGGCTTCTCTACCACAAACAGCAGAGCTTTTATTGCTTAGCTGGAATAAAAGCTATTTATACCTGGAGGTAGCTGGGTTTACCATCAATCCGAATGGCTTAAAGGGAAAGCAAAGCATCCCAGACAAACTTGCTCTTTTTTCTTTTTTTTTAAGCTGAATTTGCAAAGCCTGTCCCTGACCTCACAGGACTGCTTCTCTAGCTCCTCCCAGCCAGGCAGCTCGTGCGGCATCCTGCTGACTCCACTTTGGCGGGAGTTCATGCCAGCAGGTCCTCCGGCAGGACTAGGGCCGAGAGAACAAAACAGCCAGCCCAGCAGGCCTGGCTCTGAGCACCAGCCCTGAACTCTTGTGCAATCTTCCTTGAAACGAGTTCAAGTTGGCCAGGAGCAGAGCATTTGCGCATGGCCTGAGAGCTGGATTGAGTACCATAAACAAAAGGAAACAAAAAGAGAGGAAGAGCGCTGGGTCCCAGGGCGAGGAGGAATGCAGGCATCTGACCCAGGCCAAGCTGTGCTGAGCTGCCTGAAGGCAGAGGGGACACAGCGTGCAAGGGGACGGTTGGGAGCTCAGGGTGGAGGGGTTCATGGCCCTGTTGGCTCCATTTCAAGGAGCTGCAAGTACAGGGACACAAAAGAAGGGAAATGAGGTGAGGGCACAAAAAGGGGCTTGGAATATGAACCACAGAAATGTATTCCTCTGGGGTCAATTCATGGTGATGGGTGAGGAACAGGGACACTCCCACACCTCCAAACATGCAGGAGTATCAGCTGCAGATGACAACTTCTATGAAGGGCAAGGGGTGTTCACACCATTTTTGGGAATGTGATGGAGGGAAGGAGACTGCTTTACATGAGGGGCCCTCAGGGATGTAATGTGGGTCAATCCAGCTTTTTTGACTACATAGGAAGTTTTTGCTCCATCTAGTTCAGACACCCGGCTAGGTATGAGGCATCCTGCAGCTGCACTTTTGATGGTCCTTGGAGGGGCAGGACGCCCTTCTCAAACTGACCTGGCCCTTCGCCCTTTTGGAGTTGCACTGAGAAGTTCCTCCACCCAAACCTCTTGCCTGCTTCCATGCAGGGAGTATGGCCAGGGGAAAGGCTCTGTGTAGCCAGGGTGTTTCTATGCCTCAGCAATCCTACTTGGCCAGAACAACCCCTTTGGGCCATTAGTAGTTGGTGTTAAATAGAGCATCCCTCCAGCGGCGCTTTCCTGTGCCAGCTGCTGAGCTCACACTCACTGGCCCAGAGCTGGAGAAGCACATAGCTGTCAGGGAGCCACTGCTGTCACAGCCCCCGGCGCCTCAGTCCCACACCAGGGAGGTTTTCTCCACCCAGCGATACTTTGCCCATGTATGGCAGAACCAGGCCAATAGGAGGGCAGATGGCAGCACAGAGGAGGAAAGTAGTAAATTATTAAAGGATTAAGACTGACCTATGGAGAAAGTGAAAAGAGCTGAAGACATCTAGTTTGCCTGGAGGAGGCAGGAACCCACAGCAGCTGGCACATTGGGAAGCAAGCCTAGAGCCTAGAGACAAACTGCTGAAGCCAAATGCAGGGCAAGATGCACTTCCTAACAGCAAAGTGCATTAGGCAGTGATGGAATTTCCCAAAGGAAGCCCCGACACTTGAATCAGTGGAAACAAGGCTGGACAAAATACTGGATCGTGTCCAGGAGGGGATAACTCTTCATCAGGAAGGAGAGAGCAGTGAATAAGATGAATACTTGAGCCTTTTTCATCTCCATGAATCTATGTATCTAATGCACTCACTGCTATTTCAGTGTCTGAAAAAAATGTAATTGCCTTTCCTGTGCCATCAGCACATCTCAGCATGTAACCAGGGTGGGGAGAGGCCCAGGTGGAAGCACACTACCATCCCCTTTGGTGCTCTGGAGCAGAGGAGGTGCCTCCCTCTCACAGAGGAACAGCCCTGCAAAGCATGCAGGGAATCCAAGCAGCACCTGGTTTCTCTGCCCTTCAGCACTGCAGCAAGCCCCTTGGCCACAGCCAGGCTTGGCCAAAGCCCCAGCTCTGCTCTGCAAAGCACTTGCAGAGCTTTGTCTTACACTGTAAAGCTCAGGGCATGGCTGATGCTTGCCTTGCTCCCTCAGAGGAGGGAGCCAGAGGAGCCCAGACATCAGCCCAGCCTTGTCAGCTAGAGTGAGCAGGCAAGGGTTGCCACTGCCGGGGGGCTTCAGCTGTCAGAGTTGGGGTACATCAATTTAATTTCTTGGTGCCTTCTTCCTCCCATGAAATCTCTGCCTCTGGAAATCTGTGCTTCCCTGGGGAAGTCCCCACTCCAGCCTTGCGCCCTCCCCAGCCACGCTCACACACCCACTTCCCAGGGAGAGCAGTTCCCATCTTGGGAAAGCCACTCACAGCATCATGGTGTCCCTCCTGACAGCTGATTCTGTAATTATTTGGTTGCTGTTAATTGCTAATTAATGTTATTAACAAGTGGACCAGGGTGGCATGGCTGCTGCCAGGCATAACACCTGGTAAAATCTCGTACCTCATCATGGGGAAAGGCACTATCGAGTTTTTTAGGCCATTGACTAGTTAACCATTAACGACTGGTAAAATCCCAGGTCCCTGAACAACAAGGCGAGTCCTCTTGGCGCTGTTAGAAAATCCTATTTCTAGTGGGTTATGAAACAGAGGTTTTGATGTGCTGCCAGGTTTGATGTGGAGCTCTGGGAGCTGAACACTTGCTGCACTGTCAGCTGCCGGCCGAGAGCCACTTACATAAAGCTTTCCTAGCAACCCTACTTTGCTGTCTACATTTGTCTGTCCATCTGTCTGTCGGTCCACCTCTGCAGTGGAAAAACTGAGCGACTCAATGAGGAACTGGACTGGCCAGCTCTTCCTATGCTGACTAACATCCAGTGGTCTGCGGCCAGCCTCTAGCTGGGGAGCTTTTCCACCACTGAGCAACCCTTCATGCAAAGCCCACCATCCCCTTTGGGCCCCTTCCCTGGGTCTGCATCAACAGGAGGAAGTGAGCATCA